AAGTGCAGTCAGCTGAGTTGTTATGGAACAGAAGTCCAGCTATGTTGATATCGACGGTCTGGATGAGTTGTTCGGGCTTCTTCCTGTTCGTCCACCAACTGATATCCTGCGACTGTGTTGTACAGAGTCCATAGTGGATGGGTTGCTGCTTGACAACTTTCATTCAGGATTCTTTCCCTCTTGCCCCCCCCTCCCACTTCTGATACCTCCACCGACCTCACCAGGCCAATCACCCTCCCTCCTTGTATGTACCGGACCCATGTAAACAAGTTCTGACTCACAGAAAATACTTCAGGAGATTTGGATGAGGAACACAGAATGATCTCCCCATCGACTCAAAGCCTTCCACTCATTTGTCCACATCCGGGTCTTCTGGCTGGGGATCCCCTGGGCTAAGTTCTGGGATAATGTGCTGGGGAAAGCCAGGAGAAGGGGCGCGCCCCAACGACCTGATGAGATACAACCACTTCCTGGTGGTTCGTCCAGACTCAACTCGCGGAGCTGAGACAGAATCCCACTGGCCATGAACACGAAAGAGCCGCACGATGATTAAGTTCTGCGGGAAACTGGCTGTTCTCGCTCAAGCGGCCCCTCTCCATTCTTACCTGGCGGGCTCAGCCTCAACGTGTTGGCAGTCCAATATCGAGAGCAGCCTCAGTGTATCCGGGTGGTTCAACACAGATCTTTAAAGAGGAAGAGGGCTGTACTGGACAGGTCCTTCTGATTCGTCCATCGAGTGTTCGGAGTTTCTGTGCTCTTCATGACCCCCCCCCCACGATTTGACATCTTTACTCTGGGTGTCAATCTGTTGGGCAAACGACACACTCGGAGGTCTATGCAGGAAAGGAAGATCTGCTGTAAATTTCTTCTACCAGAATGCTGTGGACAAGCCTTACGAGTCAAACGGATCCTGGCTTGGTCTGCGCTTCCTCCTGGGTTGTCATTTGCAGACCAATCAGACTTCCTACAAGGTCTGCTGTCACAGAAAGCTTGCAGACTAAGCTGGAAACAGTCATACATCAAGGGAACTCGGGGAGATCTCTCTCCAGAGAGAAGCTTAACTGTTCACTGTATGAATGAGCCTGAATGATGCTCACTTTAGTGACAGGATCCAACAACTACTGAGTTCAGGAACTCTATCCACAGATACACTCTTCTCCTGCTCAGTGTCAGCTCTGGTCTTCATTTTACTGTCTTTCGCACAATATCGGTGTGTTGACTTGAGGAGGTACTTCTGCGTTCGGGAGGTCTTCTGTGCTGCTGCCAGTGATCAAAGTTCCAGTAACTCTCTGTACGTTATTACAAAACAACATGATTAAAGTTAACCTTAATACCTACTGTAAGCAAGAACAGGAAATTACTTGTCTGCTTTTTCCCCTCACTTCTTCAGGCTGGTGCTTGTACCTATCAAATAGATGCTGTAGAAGCTCTGGCCTCAGTTCTCAGTAGCCGCCCTTAGCCTGCAAGTGGACCTGAGTTACAACGGCCTGCAGGATTTGGAGTGAGCTGCTGTCTGTTGACCTTAGAGTCATACTGTAAACGGAAGCTCTCAGGTTAAGATCTCAAATGATCTGATGCTCTGTACATAGAGTCCACAGTCTACACTTACTTTATCATGGCTGAAGTTGCTGTACGTGTCTATAAATAGTTCAATAACTTTTCTGTAAGTGTCTTGATTAAATAGAGTAACTGTAACTGGTAAATTCAATCTTCTTTGAGATTTGAATACATGTTAAAAAAACAAAAACATTTCAGAAACATTACGTTTGGTTATCTCAGAGTTTCCGTTCATCAGAAACTGAGCATTAAAGGACGAACCTCTTCATGTATAAAATAAATGTTTTACGTTTTTTTCTCAACATTGCTTCTCAGGCTAATGGCTGTAAGCTGTCATGGAAGCTGTAAAGTTCTCTCTCAGTTCTGAGTCCAGTCCTCTAGTCTGAGGGGAGTTGACATAGTAACACAGCCTGCAGATTCAGGAGTGTTTGCATCTCTTCACTGGCCTTCGAGAGTCACACTAGTGACCCAAAATTGCTCAGGTACGGTCATGTTACCAATGATATATTTCGAAGCATACTTTGGGTCGTGAGTGGCATTACCTTAGGTGTGTGGAGTACAAGGTGAAATCTTGTTCATCTACTTTATTCATTAATTTTTCTTCAGGCTGCATCGGCTGTAACCTGGTTAAATGAAAGCTGTAAAGCTCCTGGCCCTCACTTCTCAGAGCGTCCTCTAGTCTGAGAGTGCTGGACTGAGTGACAGATGGGGATTCAGAGTGAGCGCTGCTGTCTGTTGGACTTCGAGTTCCATCATGCACGCTGGAAACTACTCAGGCTAAGTTCGACTGATGATGCTTTTTTTGCACCAAATATTGTAACTGCCACATTTTATTTACTATTCACTTCTGTCGTTCAGATAATTGGCTATATTTGTGGTCCAACTTGGTTATAAAACCACTACAAGCTGTTTTAATACTGGTGCTTTTTACCTACATACAAAGAAACAAGGAAAGAAGAATTGTCTATTTCTATATAGTATTGTTATATACATTATTTTTAATACCTGCATGAATTGCTTGTAGGGGATTGAAGAACATAGGCAAAATTTTCCAATTAAATTTCAAAATATTATTAAACAGGCTGATTTTTTTTGTTTTCTGTCACTGATATTCTTCAACAGCGGCAGCTTACATCCATATAGTTACGCTAAAACAGAACCTGAGCTTTTCTCTGATGGAGATATGTTTTACTCATTATCCTAGTCCGACGGTAGTCAGGAGTTTGACTACATTAAATGGTTCAGTTAACCTCGGTTCAAAATTTGCCTGTGATGTATGGTGATAGATAGATAGTTATTTCCGTACTGAAAAGTGCCCTTTTCCAGGTTTGCAAAGCGACTTCTCAATTGCTCTGTGTAGACAACATCTGGCACAATCAGGTTAGGTGGGTGAGCGCTAGTTTGTTACCTAGGTCGATTTAGCCAGCTTTAACAATGGCACACGGTGGCTCGGTGGTTAAGCGCTGTCACCTCCCTCAGTGGTTTTCCATGTGTAGTTTGCACGTTCTCCCTGTTGCATGGTTTCTCAGGTGCTCCATCAAAACATATACGTTGGTAATTCTCAGTAGTGCCCTGCGGCACTGGCTCGATTCGTGCTGTCGTCCCTGGGAAACCGCCAGTGTTGGCCTCTGGTCCAGTACCTTTCTGTACTTAATGGGTCAATGCAGATATCAATGGTGACATAAATGGTAATTAAAGCTAAGAAAACAGTTCTGAAATACACAAGTCCCCTGGGTCTCCTAATGTAACCGAAAAGGGTGGGACGGGGATCCACTGTAGTCAGTCACACTCGACTTCTTCCAAATAACATTCATTCATAATACTATATATCAAGGCTATAGTGTATGCAATTTTTGTTTTTCGAAGTTTATGTGTGTGAAATGGCTTAACAAAAAAAATAGGTTAATACAATAACATTATCGTGGTCACCAACGGTGAGATTGGTTTTAGTCTTGACTCACTTGGTCTTGAATGGTGGACAGTGTTGGGGGGGATTGGGCAATGGTTTGTGTGGTTTCTTTTTTTTTGTTTTTTTCCTCTCACCCAGGTTCTGTATTATTGTAGTTATACTGTACCATATTCTGTGCAGAACTGTGTTCATTGTTTCCCCCTTATTGGGCATATTGTTGGAGGGTAAAAGATTGTGCACCTTAAAAACGTGAAATCACATTGTTCGTATGGAAGGATTTGTGCAATCTGAGAAACTGATTAATTCTCTGCTTCACTGGTATGGGTTGTTTCTTTTTACATTTGGGGGGGGGGGTGGCTTTGTTTTTTTTGGCTCTCGAAGGGGGTTGGCTGTTCTGTGTTTTTTGCCCAGGGTGTCGATTCAAGACTGTAGAGACCGCCAGGGCTGCTTATGATTTCCTTATGTGCTGACCGGTATCGTCTTTCCTCCTGGTTGTGGATGTTTGTCAGTCTGTCAGGTTGTCCCTGCCCCTCACAGAGAAGAGGGCTGTGCTCCTGCCCCCCTGGCCTCAGCGCTGAAGAATCCCCCAACACCCTCTCACCTGAGAGATCTGGGATCTGACGCTACATACATCACAGGAGACTCGAGGCGCACGGGTAAAGGGGCTGTCTGCTGGACTTGGACTGGAGGATCCACACTGGAGGCTGGACACTGTCAGGTAGGGAGAAAAGAAGTGCTGCCAGATACAGCCAATGTCTGGTACAGGTGCTAGACCTGAGAACTATTTTCTCAGTCATACTGTCAACTTGTGTTTTATAGATACATTTGGGTATGAGTAATTTGCACTACTGTACTGTAGTACAATACTGTGCAATCTATGGCCCATGTCGTAACTGCTGCTACTATTTGTTTTATCTGTGTCTGTGGGATTCTTACTGTTTTTCTCTTAGTAAATAGTGTTGTTATTTTTCCTACTACTGTTTTTTTCTCTATCCACTTTGCTGCTGTAACATTGGAATTTCCCCATTGTGGGACAAATAAAGGAATATCTATCTATCTAGTGCAGGAGAGGTCAAAAGCTATTTGCTTTTAAGAGGAACTGCCTTAGAAATTCAAATGAAAAAATCATTTATAGTACAGGTATTGGAAAAAAGCCAAACAAAAAAGTGTGTATAAAAACAATTTACTATCCATATTTCTTCAATTATCAAGGAGATTATGCTGTTTTGACTCCGTTAATCTCCTTCCAGGTTGGACCATATTGGAGTCCAGTGGTTGAAACCAGGGCTGAGGAAGTGTAAGTGTTTTTTAGTTTTATTTATGAAAGCAAACCTGAATATTTTCAACTATTTAGACAGAAACTCATCAAAGGCATGCCATCCCTTTAAACTCTTTTGGAAGATGATCAACTGCATTATGTCATTCTGGATCTTAAAGGACTAGTTTGTAGGTTTTAGTGGTATCTTGTGGTGAAGTTGTAGATTGTAACTGAAAACTGCTTGCATCTGTATTTGACAAGCTGGGAATGACAACAGGCTGTGAAGTGTGCAGGACGACACTGTTTGTCTGTTCTGGGCTACTGTACAAAACATGGTGGTTCAACATGGTGGACTCCATGGAAGGCGACCTGCCGCGTCTGTAGATAAAGATGGCATTTAATTAATTTTTATTTATGGTTTATTTGACAAGGACAGACACAGTAAACACAGACAGACTGAAAGTAGCTGTCCGAAGCAAGCGTCATAGAGTTTGTGCGGATGCCAATTCAGAAAACAAAAAAAAAAGACACACACAGTTCTTTGGAAATGTTAACATCGTCATGTAAACTATTAAAACGCATTTGCTGCGAGAACGATGACCACATGGCCCCACTGAGTATTACATTGAGTAACAACAACACCTCATCATCCATCCAAGCATGCGTTCACCATCTTCTCTTCCTCTTTATATTCACCACACTTTAGAGGAAAGCGTTTGCATGCTGGCCTGCAGTTGCAAAGTTACACCGCCACCTACTGGCCTGGCATGCATACTACAACGTTTTCACAAATCTGTGTGCACGAGGATCGTTTTCCCAACATGTTTGTGAATGCAGAACTTTTTGAAAACCTGTGTTTTTAACAAAAGTAACAAATTTTAAGTAATCAGTTCACAAGTTCTAGGACTTTGGTCCTAGAACTTGCTGTCTGAGCAAAATATATTTTACAGAATGGAACCATCCATTCTAAGTTGCTCTAGTAGGTCTGCTGGTGGATTTTAACAGGACATGTTTATTTTGAGCATTCCTTGGCCTCTGTTACAGATACTGCAGGTAGTTGCTGGGTTATTAACCTTAAAAATATTCTAATATCAGCTGATTTTGTACTGAACTAAACAGTTCAAACCATCAACAGACCGAACAGTCAGAGGCAGCGCTGTAACCTGACAGTGTTATGAATGGTAACTGCTACTGGTTTACATACTGAAATGCATTTGAATGGTCATGTGCTAACTTTGAAAAATGAACTACATAACCAGCGAATCAGCTAAGTGATTTGTAATTTCCACCTCTTCCTCTACTCTGTTTAGTTTCCTCTATATGTAGAAGAAATCTGTTAAAAAGCAAGACAGATAGCTCACCTGGTAGAGCTGGCGCCCCCTGTACCAAGGCTGAGTCCTTGCTGGAGTGGCCTAGGGTTCAAATCTGACCTGTTGCCCTTTGCTGCATGTCATTCCCTCCCATTCCCACAAGTGCAAACACAGCAAGTTAATTTACACTGTAATAAATGTCCGTAGATTTTACGTTGAAAAACTGTCAAACCATGACAGTAAAAGACCATAAACTCTCAGTAGGTAAATTAGTGAAACACTGGGATATCTCATGGCAAAACTTGAATTTATATGGAATAAAGTCATTTTTTTAATATTACAGACTGTAAATTGCACAGAAAACCACTGTCATATGATTTATATGGTAAATTAATATGTCAAAACTGTTTATATGGTAAAATATAGATTAAAACTTAACAATACTAATCCTTTAATCCTTTTACTGTAGTAGTAAAAAGAGCTCTACCGTAATTATTACGGTAAAGTTGTGGCAACCACAGCTGGTAGTTTTTTTACCATAAAAATAACGTGTTTTTTTACAGTGCCTTGTTCTCTCCATCAGATGCCTGTGAACTCACATTGGACCCAGACACAGCACACAGGAACCTGGTCCTGTTAGAGAAAGACATGGTGACAGTTGAGGAGGAGCAGCAGCAATATCCTGATCATTCAGAGAGGTTCCAGTCCTGGTACCAGTTGCTGTGTAGAAATGCTCTTAATGCTCGGTGTTACTGGGAGGTCAGCTGGAAAGGGCTGGTGTCTGTAGGAGTGGCTTACAAAAGAATCAAAAGGAGTGGATTCAGTGATGACAGCTGTATCGGAGGGAACGACAGCTCCTGGAGTCTGGACTGCTCTGATGGTGGTTACTCTGTCTGGCACAATAACAGAGTCAAAATCATACGCAAACCTGCCCCCTCCACTGTCTGGAACACAGTGGCAGTATATGTGGACTGGCCAGCTGGTACTGTGTCCTTCTATAAAGTCTCCCATGACACACTGAGCCACATCCACACCTTCCACTGCACCTTTACTCAACCCCTCTACCCGGCCTTTAGGATTCGGTCTGAGTTTACGTATGGGGTTGTCAGCTGGTTGTCTCTGTGACAGATGGATGAAGACGACTAGACACACACTCACACTGGTAACTGACAGCTGCTGACAATCTAACTCAGTGTGTACAGAACCACACGTCATCACACCCACACATGCACATAAGTAAAGTACAGAACACAACTATATCTTAAAAACTAATTTGACTATTTTCACTAAAGAGAAATGTATGTATGTGAAGAGAACATACATTTTTACATACCCACACCAGTAGTAGTTGTGGCTGGAGGACAACAGTTGCTTTCATTTTAAACTGAGCTATAATAGAATGTAAATATGTTATTTAATGGACATATGTCTCAGTTTTATTTTATGTTAAGGAATGGTCATCTATGAGGAATGATATACTCCACTGCTCCAAAAATCATCACATATAGTACAAGCTCAACATTGAAACATGTCACCCAGTGCAACAGTGTGGCTGATAAACAGTTTTTGTAATCGTTTTAGAAGAACAGTGGCACAGAGGGAGAGGATGCATCACATTGTTTTTAGATGCATTCATTGTTGATTTGACACACGTGAGATTTGTTGTTCAATAGGAAAAATACACAATATTGCAAGAATACTGCCAGAAGTTTGTATTGTTATAATGTGTAAGTAAATCTAATTAATTCCAATTCCACTAGTGTGTATACAGTTATATATGTGTTGCATGCAGTAATAAATGTCTCTCATTCATTTGCAACCTCTTGAATTATGCTCGCTGATTTTCCCATCATTTAAGCACAATGAAGCTCTGTGCAGAGAACTGAACACAATAAAGCAGCCAGTGAAGCGCTGCTTTATCACGACCGGCAGAGGGCGCTGAGCTGCAACTGAAAGAGTCAACTTTAGAAATACAGAAGAATCACTGAGCATTGACGAGAGTTAGTCGGATCAATACCAGAAGTACACTTTCTTTTAAGAATAAAAGCATTCCTTTTTAATAACAATTGTAAGTAATCAATATTCATAAATGGCTGCACTTAAAACCCTATAAAAGAGGGAACGTGACATAATGTTCAATAAGTGGGCAAAACGACTGACTGACACTAACAACAATTATTTTGTTATTATGCAATCACCTGTTTGTAACAATGTAACTAACTTAATAGAGAGAAACACTATGGGTAACGCTGAATTTACATGTTCTTACTTTTATCACAGTATAAAGTCTTTATTTTTTGATCTTTGCGAAAGTTACATGTCGATGTATCGTCAAGCCATCTCGCTTTACCTACCATGCTGACGATAATCTTTTATTTTGAAATATTTCACCGGAATAACGAGTTTATTATCGTAGCTAGCTTGACACGGCGGTCCGAGGTGAGTTTAGTGGGTTGTGGAATATTTGGTTGAAAAGAAGCGGTCGGGGTGGCAGTGAAAGTAATCTTGTTCTTGTATAGGTCTTCTAAAAAGCTTCCTAAACGCCAAATACGGCCGACGATGTAAACGGATGGGGCAGAAGAGGAACTACGACAACTGATGTGAAGTTAAAGTCAGGTCGGAACAAAAAGAAAGAGTCGAGCAGTGGATCCCGTGGCGTTCTTAATTCAACACCGTCGAAACTAAAGAATGTTTTTTCCACCAAGCTAGCTGTGTTTCAGTAAACGCTGTATGCTTCTTTGCTGCTTCCCGAGCGACCTAAAAACCATGCTGAAAAAAAGAAGTCAAATGTGTCCTCTGATATTTCATGGTAAGTGCTGCAACGAAGTCCCAAATGCTTTCTTTCTACAGCTCGCTTATCACGCCAAACTCCACTTGGAAACCTTTCTATTTAGAGTGCGCTTGTTAGAGGCTGATTTGTGTGTCTCGTAGAACAAAACACAGAAAGCGAAGTACATTTTGAACACATCATAAACGTATGGCGTTTTGAGGAGCACCGTTCAGTCCGCATACAACGTTATTTTGATGAAAATGATTCTTTTGTTATGCCAGAAACAACACACTTTCTCCACTAAACAGTGTTTAAGCTCTAGCGTTAACCAAATGTAAACGAAACTTAGAGATGCTTGGTAAGTTATAAGCATGCCGAATTTATCAGTATGTCTCTTTGACGCCTATAATCACACATAATTAAACGATGAGTAACATTGCGGATAAAAAAAGTTGGATCTTAAATTGATGTTTTTTTAAACGGAAGTAGCATGGCTGTTTGGTACGCAAGTTACCAAAGCTAGCTTGAGTGTTAGCATTAAACTATGTCAGGCAGTGGGTGTAATTAGAGTATCAGGTATTGTTTTTTTACGCAGATTAGCAACCAGACTTCCTTATTTTATGGGACGCAAGGGAAGGTCGGGTCACTACAGAAACAGATGAAATCCCCCTTTAAACAGTGTTAGAAATAACACCTTTCAAGTAGGTAACTGCAATCTACTGAATGTATATCTGCATCTGTAGCCCAACTTATTCGAAAGAGATTGTTGTCTTTACAATGGAATAGCAAAGGGATTTTGACACAATATATAAACTTTAAATGTGGACTAGGTATAAATTACAGCTGTTGCCTGACTAGAAACCATCACGTTTAATGTCTTTTATTTATTTATAGTAATTTATAATAATAATAATAATAATAAATTATTGCCCCCTACTCTCCTCTCTTGCCCTTCAACAACTCCATATCATTGTCCTTTTTAGGAGGTAATGGACAGCTACAGAACACCACCACTAAAACCTTCAGCACCTTGCTCAAAGACACTTTTGAGCATGTCCACAGAATGCTGGTGTAAGGTCCAGTATCCAACATTTAGGAGGATCTATTGTCAGAAATGAAATATAATATTCATAAAGTATGTTTTCATCAATGTATAATCACCTGAAAATTAGAATTGTGTGTTTTTGTTAACTTAGAAAGATCCGTTTACATCTACAGATGCTGCGGTCGCCTTCCATGTTGAATTGCCATATGTCTTATTAACCTGTATTTATGGTCATTAGGGCTGCGACTAACAAATATTCATTCATTCATTATTGACTGTTGATCATTTTCTTAATTTATAAATTAGTTGTTTGGTCCATAAAATGTGAAAAATGTCGATCACTGTTCGTCAAAGCCAAGGAAACGTCCACAAGCCAAAGATATTCAGTTAACTATAACAGAGGACTAAAGAAAGCAATAGATATTCATATTTTGGGCTGAGACCATTTTCCAAATGCAACTGACTCAAAACGATTAATCAGTTATTAAAATAGTTGATTAATTGACAAATAGTTGCAGCTCTAATAATCAGTTGCACAATTTTGTTGTTCGTACAGTGACATCTAATGTTTTTTTTCATTATTGATTCATCTCTTGATTATTTTTCTATCAATCATTTGGTGTATAAAATGCCATCATAATTTGGCTAGAGCCTACAGTGACAGATGTTTTGGGGTTTTGTCTGACCAACAGTCCAAAATCTAAATATTCCATCTACCATGATAAACAAAGAAAACTGAAAAATAAACAAAGTAGCAAAGCCTCACATTTGAGAAGTGGGAAATTTAGAATTGTTGACCAATAATTTCTGTCTGTCCATTAATAGATAAGTTCTATAATTGTTTCAGCATTAGTTGTTTTCCAACTGAAAGAAGAGATTTCATTATATTCTCAGTGTGGACAGAGAACTTTACAAAAACAAGCTGAAAAGTAAAACTAGAGCTGCATTGATGGTTAATCAAATAGTTGTCAACTATTAAATTAATTGCCAACTTATTTGTTAATCAACTAATCATTTTGAGTAATTTTTCAACTTTTCAAATGTGGATATTTCTGGTTTCTTTTGTCATCTATTACAGTAAATTGAGTATCTTTGGCTTTGGGAAACAGTGAACATTTTTCACTTTTTATGGACCAAACAACTAATTGATTAATCGAGAACATGGTGGACGGATTAATCGATAATGAAAATAATGGTTAGTTGTAGCCCTATGGGGAGGAGAGAGAGAACAACCACTCTGTTTGTCGAGGTGTCCCTGCAACCAGTACATATGCTCCAGTCTCATTGAACTCATTGATAAACTGCTGGCTCTGACTGATGACTTACCCAAATCAGACCAGTATGAACACTCCCCACATCAGTGCCTTTCTGTTGCTGGTGGGGCTCAATGAGGACTCCTGTCCTCCATTTTGTAACTAAACAGGGCCCTTTGTGGGGGACAGAAACCAGTATTGGAAACAGATTTGTGGGAGGTTTTATTTTGGGGGGCACAAGCAAGCGCAGTCTGGGCTCTCTGTTGTCGTATTTTGCACTTCATAATCTGCCACACATTTTCAATGGGAGATGGTTCTAAAGTGCAGGCAGAGGTCAGTTTAGTACGGTACTCTTTTACTACAAAGCCATACATGCAGAAAGTGGCGTGGCATACGTTTTGCTGAAAAAAACAGGGACATCTCTGATTATCCCTGATAATTGATTATTATTGTCCTTTTATTTAGATGCAAATGTTCAATTAAGCATCACATAAAAACTAAAATATGAATGTATAGCCCCTTGTAGTAGGAGTGGGCAGGCCTGTGTGTGTGTGCGCGCGTGTGTGTGTGCACGTGCGTGTGTGCAGAGCAGTGTGGAGTTGCTAGCGTGTGTGTAAGGGGAAGAGAAAGCAAGGTCAGCAGATTAAAGTGGCTGTGAGTAAATGCTTTCTTTGCATTGCATCCCTGCCCCATCTATTGTTCTCATATGAACTGTGTGACATTTGTGACAACGAAATAAACAAGCAAAATGTTAGACGTTCTCTATCATAACATGATATATATTAAACATGCTTCTAAATAATCTTCCCTCTTTCTGTGCAGGATTCCATGTGACGGTGTGAGGATGGGACAGGGTGGTGTTGGGACTGACTGCAGCCCTGGAGGCTGATGAACCTGCTCAATCGGCCAGTCAGGATGCACATAGCATCAGTGGGTGTCAGCAAGTTCTGCTTCCTGTTTTCCCTTGCATTCTGTGGCCTCTTGCTTCTGCTTATCCCTGCCCTGCAGCCCTCAGCACGCCAGGTAGACCTGCCTCAGCCCCGACCCCAAGTGAGACCTGCACAGGCAGCCTCGTCACACCATGTTCCAGCAGTGTCTGTCCATGCAGGAGAAACTGAATCTACCACGGGGCTCAATGGGAGCTCAGCAGGGCAAGAGAGATCTATTCAGACTGACGTTACCATGAATAATAACAATATTCTCAAGAGTGGGATGAAAAGAGGGGCTCTCCCTGGAGGAAAGGGTGGTGGACTGTCTGGGTCTAGGTCTCGGGACCTGTTAGACTTTAAGGACATTTTTATTGCAGTGAAGACTACCAGGAAGTACCACAAGTCCAGATTGGAGTTGCTGATTCAGACTTGGGTTTCCCAAGCTAAAGAACAGGTGAGGACAGCTGGACTTACTTGTTGGTTTATTTGGTGAACTAGTGGCTTCAACTAAATTCTCTGTTTTATATCATTTATATATATATATACACACACACACATATATGCGCATATATTTAGAGCTGGACTGTTTGTCAGACAAAACAAACAA